GTGGATAAAGAAGGAAAAACTCAGAGTCAAACAATGAATGTCGTCTTCAAAGAGATCTTTCAGAACCTAAGGAATTAGGATAGTTTTAGTTTTTTTGCTTCTGTTATTTAACTTTGTAGATGTTTTGTATTGTTTTTTAGAACAGCAAGTTCCTTTCCATAGTCATTTTAATCCAAACATAATCAGACTCTCTGCAACTACAGTAGTGTAAGTTTAAGAGTTCATTTCTAGACAACAAAATCAAGAAACCTTAGTTCAATTATAACTCCGATTGAGACAAACAACAACTTCAATTTGTGTCTACAACTGAAAAAACAGATCCAAAACTAACCTTATAGAAATGATTATTGCTTTAAGTGCTGTCGATTTGCGAAATTTGATCTGCAAATGGTTTCATTCAGGTTCTGTTCTTCACTGATCCCCTCTCCCAGATTTCTAACAGAAACCAATTCATCATCTCAAGTGCTTTATCCGAATCCTATATGAAATATGAAAAAGGTAATTGATCACAGAATCTAAATTATCTTGAAACCATTCAATTGAATTAGAATGAAGCTTACAAATTATGAAGAATTGGCGCAGAGAACATGTCGATTGATGTGAGCTTATGATCTGATAATCAGCTTCTTCGGTATCATCGGTAAAGCTTAAGCATGTCAATGGATGTTAACTTTCGGTGGAGAACGAGAATCATCGTTCTCATATGTTTTTTTTTTTGTTTTTTTTTTATTTTTTTAAATTCACAACTTATGTGTCTTTACTTTTTTAAAAACATAATTTTAATTTTATTTGTTTACTTTATCTTCAATTTTTTAAAAAATATTTATAAATGTTAGAATCTTTGTTATGCTAAAAACAAATTCTCTTCAAAACTATATAGTAAAAGAACACTTATAATCACAAAAACAATTACACCACTTTTACTATTTCACATTTTAATATCTACTTTTACTTATATTAACATTACAAACCCATTTTATAATTAATACACCTATTTAAATACATTAAATCACATTCTTCTAAGTATTAAATAACAACCAACCAATTAAAATACCAATTATTAGTTATAAAGGATTTAATTTAAAAACCAATTTTATAAATTATGTATATAAAACATAATCAACTACTTAATAAGAAAACCGCACAAAATCTACCCGCGGGTTAAATCCTAGTAAAAGTGTAATTGGTCAGAGTCTCTCAGCTTCGAAGCACGAGCGGAGCGAGGCAAACCAAAAAATCCAGTTCGCTTCGTTCTCATCTTCAATTCTTGTTCATCTTCCTCAAATTCAGCTCGAAATTTCCAACCTTTACTTCTTTAATGGAGATTCTCCACCCCGATCAAGCAACCTCTAACGGTATACGAATCTTCTCTGTCAAAAATTAGGTTTTTCGTCTGATTTTATTGTCACTACATTCTATGCATGTCGTTCTCAAATCTGATTTTGAGTTCAATTTGTTGACTTTATTCTATTGTTCATATAGAGAGTAATGTGACTATGTGGCTTTGTTCAGGGTACTACAAGAATGTGCATAAAAGAAAGCAAAATCAAGTTGATGATGGACTTTGTTCCGCGTCTGAAGCAAAGCGGTTAAAGAGTTCATCCAAAGTGATTGATTATTCTAACCCATTTGCAATTAGTAACATGCTTGAAGCATTAGATGGTGGTAAATTTGGGAGTGTTACTAAAGAGTTGCAAGAGATAGCTGATATGAGGATGGATTTGGTTAAGCGTTGTATTTGGTTATATCCATCGTTAGCGTATACCGAGTTTGAAGATGAGAAGACGATGATGAGTTTGGTTAATCAACAGGTTGTGGAAGGTGGTGTTATTAATTTGGATGATGATGATGATGATAATGATGATAAAGCTATCTGTGTTGTTCCTTCTTCTGAGATTGTGGTTCTTGATTCTGATGATGAAGATAATGAGAGGCAGAGGCCTATGTATCAGTTTCAGTCTACTCTTGTACAGCTTCAGAAGAATCAAGGGGATGTGACTCCAGTAACGCCGCAATTCACTTTCGAGGAGGTCTATTTAGGGAGGAGTATGGAGGTGCCTTCTGTAATTAAGGCCGTGGTGGTAAGTTCTGTTTTTTTTTTCTCGAGCTATCGAGTACTGCGTTTGAGCTTGATTAAAGGTTACAAATTAATGTCACCTGTGTTTACAAACTAGCAATACAAGAGGTTTAACTTTTGTTTATATGTAATTTTCATAGGAGGGACAAACAAGTAGAGACAAAGTCGTTGCCATAGAAAATGGTGTGGTTAACGAAAAAGGTGTCTACGTGGGGGTTGAGGATGATGACAGTGATAATGAGTCTGAAGCAGCAGATGAAGATCTTGGTAATATCTGGAATGAAATGGCCATGTCAATAGAGTGTTCCAAGGTATATATGTCTCAACATACAGTGCTCCTAGGGCTTGATGTTGCATCTCTTAGGTTTCTTGCATTTGAGATAGTTAGTAGAAAGCTCATTTGAAGAACTTTCTTCCTTAAATTGATCTTTTTTTTGGCCACTTTTTCTGCTTTGTTCATTTCTGATTACAATAAAATGTACAGGATATAGCAGGGGAGACTTCGCATAAGCAAAAGGCAGATGTAGTGGAAGACTGTGAGCACTCATTTATTCTAAAGGATGATATGGGTTATGTTTGCCGTGTCTGCGGAGTTATTGAGAAAAGTATACTAGAGATAATTGATGTGCAATTCACTAAAGTAAGTATCCTTTTTTCTGATACCAAGCTAATGTAGCTTTCAAGGAAAAGTATGTTTCTTGGTACTCGACAAATTTTGTTGTCTGAATACCATAATAGGGTAGGACTTCTTCATACATGTAGTCTATTTTCATTACCTCCATTATGCCTAGGTTTTTTAAATTTTGTTATCTAACTGTTTTGGAAACTGTGATATTCATATGATCTTGAGATTGATTCCCAAGTCAGAGTCTGACGGAGCTTCTAATTTTTCTTGTAACTTTCATTGTAGGCAAAACGAAACACAAGAACATATGCCTCTGAAACTAGAAATAAAAGGTTTGGCGAATCTGATGCTGAACTTAAGTTTTCTGAAGAAGGGCTGATGATAGGTGGACTTGCTGCTCATCCAACGCATGCTGACAAAATGAAGCCTCATCAAGTTGAGGGATTCCAGTTCCTTTGCAGCAATTTAGTGGCAGACGATCCTGGTGGTTGTATCATGGCTCATGCTCCAGGTTCTGGAAAAACCTTCATGATCATCAGTTTTATGCAGAGCTTCCTTGCCAAGTATCCTCAGGCTAAGCCACTGGTTGTGCTTCCAAAGGGAATTTTGTCTACTTGGAAAAGAGAGTTCCTGAGATGGCAAGTTGAGGACATACCACTGCTTGATTTCTATAGTGCTAAAGCAGAAAACCGAGCACAGCAGCTGGCTATCTTGAGAAAATGGATGGAGAAGGAGAAGAAGAGTATCTTATTTCTTGGGTACAAGCAGTTCTCAACTATTGTGTGTGATGATACAAGTACCGACTCACTTTCTTGCCAGGAGATACTGCTCAAAGTACCTACGATCCTCATTTTGGATGAAGGACACACTCCAAGGAATGAGGACACAAATGTATTGCAGTCCCTTGCCCAAGTCCAAACACCAAGAAAAGTTGTCCTCTCAGGAACGCTTTATCAGAACCATGTAAAGGAGGTTTTCAACATTTTGAGCCTCGTTCGACCCAAGTTCCTCAAATTGGGTACCTCCAAGTCTATCGTGAAGAGGATATTGAGTTATGCTCCTATATCTGATGTCAGGTCACATATGGGAAACAATTCAGATGTGTCTTCGGCCTTCAATGAAATTGTGGAGTACACACTGCAGAAGAGCGAGGATTTCACGATGAAAGTTAATGTAATCCAAGATTTGCGGGAGATGACAAAGAAAGTGCTTCATTACTACAAAGGAGATTTCCTAGATGAGCTTCCTGGACTTGCTGATTTCACTGTGGTTCTTAATCTGTCTCCAAGGCAGTTGAACGAAGTGAAGAAGTTAAGACATGAGAAGAGAAAATTTAAGGTTTCGGCTGTGGGAAGTGCAATTTACCTTCACCCGAAGCTGAAAGTTTTCTCTGAGAAGGCTGATGATGTCTCTGATACAACTATGGACGAAATGCTAGATAGGCTAGATGTGAATGAAGGTGTCAAAGCAAAGTTCTTCCTTAACTTGATAAACCTGTGCGACTCAGCAGGTGAAAAGCTCTTGGTTTTCAGCCAGTATCTCATTCCTCTGAAGTTTCTTGAAAGATTAGCTGCTGTAGCTAAGGGTTGGAAACTAGGGAAAGAAGCTTTTGTTCTTACAGGCGATACCAGTCCTGAGCAGCGTGAGTGGTCAATGGAAAGGTTTAACAATTCGCCAGATGCCAAAATCTTCTTTGGTTCGATAAAAGCATGTGGAGAAGGAATCTCACTTGTTGGAGCATCTCGCATACTGATATTGGATGTTCCTTTAAACCCTTCTGTGACACGCCAAGCCATCGGGCGGGCTTTTCGACCCGGACAAACAAAGAAGGTGCATGCGTACAGATTGATTGCTGGGTCATCACCTGAGGAGGAGGATCACAACACTTGCTTCAAAAAGGAAGTCATCTCAAAGATGTGGTTCGAGTGGAACGAGTACTGCGGATACCGAAACTTTGAGGTAGAGACAATTGATGTTGATGATGCTGATGATATGTTCCTTGAAAGTCCTACCTTAAGAGAAGACATAAGAGTTCTCTACAAAAGGTAAAGTCAGTTTTGACCAGATCCACACATAACTCTTTACGTCACATTTTCTCTGTTGGTGAACTTCCTCAATGCTCATTTTTCAGGTAAACGCAGACATAATGCAGACAAAATTCTTCAGGTTTTGGACATGCTTAGGTTTTAGGAGTCTGTCAATAAGATAACTTCGGGAAGATCCTTTTTGAATTTTCTGAAAGAATTTTAGCATTTTAAGTGTAGTTTCAACGTCAAACCTTTGGTCTCATGTGCCTCTGACCATATAATTAGTCTATTACATTAAAGTAGGAAGAACAAATCGTATCTAATCTCAGATTGTGTTCACCTTCTCATGTCTTCTCATTAATCTACAATTTCGTCTTTTTGGGTTTACTTTCACAAAAGAATACATTTCGACACCTTTCTATTCTCCTCATCAAGCTACAAAGTCATGCAACAATTGTGAAGAGCCAAGCCGGTGCTGGAGGTTGCGAGAGTTTAAGTATTGGAGATCGGTTCCCGGGATGGTATTTTCGTAGTTATCTATCCCACCGGACATAGGAACATCGCTGTCGGAATTCTGAATCCCCAATGTTAAAGACATCCCACCACTACCATTTCTTGTTATGTCAGTCACCATCATGAACCGGTCACCACCACGGGCCACCGTGCTTTGTCCAATGCTACTGCTTGGCACACTAGATACACGTCCGTTGTTGGAACTAGACTCAGTTTGCTGCTCTTGAATGTCTGTGATTTCTGGTGTGTTTTCAGAAGACGGGTTGGGATCATTCTCCTCCAATGCATCTGTGAATTCCTCCTTGTACATCTCCTCCACCATCGGTTTCCAGAGACGCACACGCGCATTTATGAACCAGTTCGACACCTTTTAACAATCATCAAACGTACAAAACAAAGAAAAATGACCACAACAAAAAGAAAAGCACTCGGTGAGAGAAAAAAGATACAAAAGCTTATGTGCAATACCTGGCCTCGGCTCAACCCCGTTTGTCTAGCGAGCATGATCTTGTCTGAATCCTTTGGATAACTAAGTTCAGTGGTTTAAAACACAATTAGTTGGAATCCCTTGTGATCAATGAAGAAATTCACAAGTGTAGTAGAGAAACTTACGGGTGGAGGAAATGCTCGAACAGCCAAGCACGGAGAACCAAAACAGAGGAATCAGGTAAACCGCGTTGAGGCCGCCAAGTGTGAGGTTGCATAACACCTAACCGCTGCAACGCTCTTTGTTGCCTTACCTGTTGATCAACATTCCTTAACCTGCTTATCCCCACTCCTCTCCCATCTGATCCATCCTCCCCTCCTAAACTTTTCCTTATCACCAAGATTTGTCCGGATATCGCATCCCTTAAGCAACGAAAATGCCTAGAAATAGTCTGAAGCGCAAGAGCCGTGTATGGTTTGGCTGCTCCACATCCCGCTATTACATCGAAAGATGACACAACTATCTGCATCTGATGGTAGTACTGCTTGTAATTTCTATCCACCTTTAAACAACAAAGAATCAAACAGCACTTTATGTTATCAAGAACAATCATTTACAAGCATAGAGGATATGTTATAAGGCGAATTACCTCATCTAATATCGATAAAAGTTTCGACAACTTGCTCTGCAGTTCTTGTCTCTCTGCTTGAGGGATTTCAGCAATATTAATCTGATGATTCTTCTCTTTCACTTCATCAATCTTGTCTCCCTCTGGCTGAAACTGCTTCAGAGCTTTCTTAACATTAACAGCTTCATCAAGAAGCTCTTGAGCAGCCTTGAGATACTTTGAGTTGTGAATGGTTCGAGTAAATCCCGAAACAACCTGTGTTGCATACTCATTGTTATTATTGCCTCTCGATGTCTCAATCTGCGAGCTGAGGCCAAGACGCATCATCACCGGGAAGCGACTCCTGTCATTGTCTTCTTGATCTCTCCAAGAACCAGAATCTTGAATCTCCACCATTTGTGAAACTCCACCAAGACTTGACAATACTTGAATCTCTTTAGAAGCTGAGACATTAGTAGTTGCTTCTCTAGGAAAAGTCTCTGAGAAAGAATTTGTGTAGCTCATTGCGTTTCCAGGGACAAATTCTGGTCTGGAATAAATCTCACTTGAGCCAGTTTTGTAATAAGTTGCCATAGTCTTCTTCTTCTTCTTCTTATGATCAGATCAAAACCATCAAACAAGGATTCATCTGTTTCAGAATCAAACACAAATCAACACTAAGCCCTTTTACTTCACTCACATTATGTAATAAAATCATAATTCAACAAGGAGAAATTAGAAATTGAACCAATGAAACATGTGAATGAGAAAGTAAGGATAGATTAAAAAATTACCAGTAAATCATCTGCTGACTTTGTGGGTGTTAAAAGGAGGAGACACTAAATCTCAAATTGAAAAAGGAAAAAAAAATATTTTTTTTTAAGTCTTGATGATCCCAAGAACACAAAATTAACAACAAACCCTCCTCAAATCAAAATCTTGATAATATAAAATGTTTGACCCACACAAAAGATTCAAGAAAACAAAAGACCCATCTCCCTAAAGCAAGTTTTTAACTTTCCTTTTGAGGTAGAAGATAATGAATATTTCTTTAAAGCTGGTTGGTTCTTGAACTTGCTTCTTGATTCTTCTTCTTCTTGTTTCTTGGAGTCAAGTCTTTTGGTGAAGATAACAAAAACAAAAACAAAATGTTTTAAAAAGTAAAAATGTGTTAAGGAGATTCTGTTCTTAACAAACCAGTTGGTAGAGATCTAAACCCTTCTCTAAAACCTAATCCTAAACCCTAATGCCTCTCTCTATCTCTCTTTCGTGTCTCTGGCCTTTTTGTTTGTTTGCTGCAATAAAATTGATTGAAGCTATAACCACCATACAATCATTTTCATTGTTTTTATATTATTATTTTTCTTTTAGTTGTCAATATGATATATTGATATATTCCTAATTGGTTACCAAAATAAAGATATTCTAATTCTTCTAAGATGATGTGTTTATCAAGCATAGTTTTGGAGAGTAAGACAAAATTTAATGGACGTTTTTCATATCTAATTTTGGTGCAATACAATTTTTAAATAATTCATGTCCAATTTGTAACCAAAGATATTTTATTTACTTATAGACTAGTCCATCTTTATTAGAGTGGGAATAATTTGAGTAGCCCTTAAGACAACGTGTCAAAGTTTACACACGGATGTATATTTTCAACTTCTTTTCAATAAAATAATTTCACTTTTTTGGTAAGCTTTTTACAGTTTCTTCTTCTTTGTCTTTAAATTTCACTTTTCAACATTTGAAAATTTTGGTTCTATCAAATAATATCTGTGATGGTCCACATGCTATACTATACTACTAATTAGTTGCATTTGCATACAACTATTTTTGCAAGGAAGA